CGGTCCGTGGTCCCCCTCTTGGCCCCCTCTTGGGCCTGTCTTCGGGCCCTCGTGGGCCGTCTTGAGCGTCTCTTGGGTCGTCTTGGGGCCCTCTTGGGCTGTCTTGGGGCGCTCTTGGAAACCTCTTGGGCCGTTCTGGGGCGCTCTTGGAGGCCTCTTGGGCCGTCTTCGAGCGTCGGAAAGCGGAAAAGGCGAGAAGGCCAAAATCCTTCCAAAACCGTCGTAAAGCGGATGATTTTGACACCCAAAACCGCCCAAAACCTCCTGAGGCGGTCCCCTCGTCCGCCCCCGTGGCACCTCTTGGGGACCTCTTTTGGGTTGCTGGGGGCCTCTTGGGCCTCTCTGGGCTCGTCTATCGCGCCCCTTGGGCTGTCTTGGGGCCCCCGAGGGCCTTCTTGGGCGGTCCTCGGGCCGTCTTGGAGCCATCTTGGGCCGCTCTTCGGCCCATCTTGGGGTCCCGTTGGCCTGTCTTGGGCGCCTCTGGGGCCGTCCTGGGGCCGCCTTGGACCGTCTTGGGGCCCTCTTGGACCGTCTTGGGGTCCTTTTGGGGACCTCGTGGACCGTCTTGGAGCGGTCTTGGATGCCTCTGGGGGGGGCTCGGAGCGTCGGGAAGCCGAAAAAGCAAGGAAGCAAAAAACCTCGGAAAAAAACCAATGAAAATCAACGATGTTGGCCTCTCGGGGCTCTCTTGGGAGGCCTCTTGGGAGGCCTGTTGGGCCGTCTTGGGGAGCTCTTGGGCCGTCTTGGGCCAATCTCGGGCGTCTTGGCCGGATCATTGCGCGTCTCGGGGCCCTCTTGGGCCGCCTTCGGGGCATCTTGAGCGGGTCGGAGCCGTCTTTGAGCGGCTCGGAGCCGTCTTTGGGCCGTCGGGGCGTTCCGGCACGCGGTTCCTCCGGCCATATAGTATAGAAGACTAGTGTGAACCCGTGGATTAAGTCCACGGCGTGCTGAGCCTGGGACTCGCACTCCGTAGGTAACCAGCTCGTCGACGTTGAACAGCTCTGGCGTCCCTTGGGCGGTAGAGGCGACCTTCGGAGGCACATGTGACGGTCACGTTTGAGGGCAATGGTTGGGGGCTGTGTGGGGGCCACGTTTGGGGGCGCCTGGGGGCTACGCGTGGGGGCCACGCTTACTGGGGCGGTGGGGGCGACATTAGGAGGCTTTGTTTGGGGGCCGCCTTTGGGGGTCCCGTTTGGAAGCCACGTGGGGCCGACGTTTACAGGCCACGTCTGGGGGCCACCCCGGACAGCAGTCGGGGAGCTCCGGGGGCACTGACCTGGAAGCGTGAAAAGAGATGGGTTTCTGCTGATCGCGCCGGGCCTAGGCTCGATTAGCAAAAACACAAGGGTTTTCAGGCACACTCAGAGTGAGGGGGCACGTTTGTGGGCCTCGGTTGGGGGGCGCGCAGGGAGGTCTTGGGGCCATCTTGGGGGTCTCGGGCCGTCTCGGAGGTCGCTTTGGGCCCTCTTGGGCGGCACCTTGGGCCCTTCTGGGGGCGTCTTGGGGCCATCTTGGGGTCTCGGGCCGTTTCGGAGGTCGCTTTGGGCCCGGTCGGGCGGTGTCTGGGGCCTGGTTGGGGCTGACTTGGGAGTCACTTGAAGCTCTCTTGGGCCGTCTTAGGGCCCTCTTGGGCCGCCTACGGGCCGTCTGGGGGCCCTTCTGGGGGCCCTCTTGGACAGCGCAGGGGCGATGTGGGAAGCCCCCTGGGGCCATCCTGGGCCGTTGTGGTCCCGAAGTGGCGGGATCAGGAAAACCATCGAAACCTTCGGAAAACGGATAAGTATTGCCCCTTGGCGCCGTCCAGGCGGTCCTCGGGGGCCGTCTCTGAAGCCTTTTGGGGCCGTCAGGGGGCTTCGGTCAGGCCGCCTTCGGCCCTTGTGGGTGTCTGTGAGGCCGTCTTGGGGCGATCTGGGAATCCTGGATCAGTCCGCGAGCGGTCCGGGGGCCTCCCGGGCCCGTCGGGCAGCGGCCCGGAGGCTCTCCGGGCGGCCCGCGAGCTCTCTGGGCGGCCTGGGGCGCTGCCACTGCTTGACCTTTTCGCAAGCGCTTCGCCCGGAATTGTAGTAGAGATGACGTTGGGCTCCAGCTTCGCCTCCCGCATCTCGCTCAGCAGGGCCAGCGCCTGCTGCCACTGCTCGCCCTTCTCGCACGCGCTGATCCCAGCGCTGTAGGAGAGATTATGACTAGGGCTGACCCGCGGCCTCCGGCCGCGGAATTTGCCCGCCCTGGCGTGCACGTGGAAGTGGAGCGTCTCTGGGGCCTCGCGGGTAAGGGGGGTTGGAGGGGACGGCGTGGATGGAGGAGGTGGCCGCTGGAGGGTAAGGTGGGCGAGGGATGCAGGCAAGCAGGCCTGAAGGCAGGAACGCGGTGGTGGAGGCGGTGTCAGTGGAAGCACACCCATGTAGGCATGACATGGTGTGGACAGAAGCTGTTTCTCACGCCGCATTCTGTGTTCATCATAGCTTCTGCGGGGAAGGTAGCCGTGAGAAGCTGATCTGCTCTTCGCCGGGGCCGAATGATAATTTCATCGGGCAGTGCGGTGACAATGGGGCCAGTGGGCGCGGCCTAGGAAGCCCGCAAGAGGGCGGCGAGACGGAACTAGATGAGGCGGGCTTCAGTGCGAGGACACGAATCGATTTTTCGAGCGCACCTCCCCAAGACGTCCCCAAATAGCGCAGAGATGGCTCCCAGAGGGTCCAAGAAGCCTCCAAAACGATGCTGGAAGTTCGACGCTCCCCAAGAGAGAAGCATCCAAGGCCTCTCGGGGGCCGCTTGGGGGCCTCTTTTTGTCCTCCTGGGGGTGAGTCTCTCGGAGCCCTCTTTGGCAGTCTTGAGTGCATCTTGGGCCGTCTTGGGGTGATGTGGGGCCGTCTTGTGCGCCTCTCGGACCATCTTGGGACAATCTGGGGCCATCTTGGACCAATACTGGGCGCTACTGGCCCTCTTGGGGGCCTCCGGGGGCGGCTCGGAGCGCTCTTGAGCCATCTTGGAAGCGCGGCGGGGCTCCCCAGAACTCTGCTGGGCGCGGGTCCACCATTCTGCCACCAGAGGCCTTCCTGTGGCAGAACGCACCCGGTCCTGTGGCCCGAAGGCCTCAAGAGGGCCGCAAGAGCGCCCCCAGGTGGCCCCAAAAGGGCCCCAAGCCGCATGTCGGAGGTGGGGGGGTGAGATCGCAGTGGAAAGGAGACCCCCAACCGGGAAATCGTTTCGTTTCGCTCGTGTCGTGCGTGCGGGCGAGGCAAAGCTGCGTGGGCGCGCGAGAGTAATGAACCCGCCGTTGCTAGGGCGAAGTCAAGACAAATGATTCTCCCCCTCCCGCCCGCCCGTCCAGCGGTGGCTCGCGTTGACCCGCGGTGTCCCGTGGTGTCCCGTGGTGTCCGGTGGTGTCCGCCGCTGCTAGAACGAAGTCAAGACAAATCATTCTCCCCCTCTCGCCCGTCCGGCGGTGGCTCGCGGTGACCCGCGGTGTCCCGTGGTGTCCCGTTGTGTCCCGTGGTGTCCGCCGCTGCTAGGGCGAAGTCAAGGCAAATGATTCTCCCCCGCCCGCCCGTCCGTCCGTCCGTCCGGCGGTGGCTCGCGGTGTCCCTCGGTGTCCCGTGTGGTGTCCCGTGGTGTCCCGTGGTGTCCTGTGGTGTCCCGTTGAGTGAGATCGATAGTGAGATCGATACAAGGATCGATAGTGAGATCGATACTGAGATCGATGTGGTGCCCCGTGGTGTCTCGTGGTGTCGCGTGGTGCCCCAAAAAGTGAGATCGATAGTGAGATCGACAGGTGTCCCGTGGTGGCCCGTGGTGTCCCGTGGTGTCCCGTTGAATGGAATCGATAGTGAGATCGATAGTGAGACCGATAGTGAGATCGATGTGGTGCCCCGAGGTGCCCCGTGGTGTCCTGTGGTGCCCCAAAAAATGAAATCGATAGTGAGATCGATAATGAGATCGACAGGTGTCCCGTGGTGTCCCGTTGAGTGAGATCGTCAGTGAGATCGATAATGAAATCGATAATGAGATCGATGTGATGTCCCGTGGTGTCCCGCGGTGTCCCGTGGTGTCCCGTGGTGTCCAGTTGAGGGAGATCGATAGTGAGATCGATAGTGAGACCGATAGTGAGATTGAGAGGTGTCCCGCGGTGTCCCGTGGTGTCCCGTGGTGGCCCGTGGTGTCCCGTGGTGTCCCATTAAATGAGATCGATAGTGAGATCGATAATGAGATCGACAAGTGTCCCGTGGTGTCCCGTGGTGTCCCGTGGTGTCCCGTGATGTCCCGTTGAGTGAGATCGATAGTGAGATCGATTGGGTCAGATGTTGGTTCCCCCCCTCTCCCCCCCCACACACAACCTCCTTGTCACCCGAAGGGTGGTCGTATAAGTACTTGATGTGCTTCTTGGGCTTGCGAGAGGGGCACACAAGCATATGCGTCATGGGGCCTTGTCGGGGCCCTTTCGGGGCCCTCCTGGTCCCCTGTTGGGGCCCCTCGGGAGCGCTCCCACCCTGTCCTGGCCCCCTCTTGGGGCCGCCATGGGCGCCTGAGGAGCCGTCCTGGCGCAAGCTTGAGCCGTCTCGGGGCCCTCCTGGCAGCCTCCTGAGGTGTCTTGGGAAGATCTTGAGGGCCTGTGTGGCCGTCTTGGACGCTTCGACGACGAGAAGCACAGGAACTCCCGAAATGCACTTTTTCCCAAAGGTGGGACGATTTTCCTTGTTCGGGCTCTCATGTGGCTCTCTCTGGAGCCCACTTGGAACATTTTGGGGGCCTCTTGGGCCGTCGGGCGGCTGACTTGGGCGTCTTCGAGCGCTCAGGGCCCGTCTCGGAGGCACTCTTGGACCGTCTTCGGCCGTCTTCGGGCCATCTTGTGGGCCTCCGGGGGCGGCTCGGAGCGCTCTTAAGCCATCTTGGAAGCGCGCCGGGGCCCTGGCGCCGCGCAGGTGGCCGCCAGAAGGCGCCGGTCCGCTGCCACTGCTCGACGCTTCGGCGAGCGGCGAACGATGCATTATAGGAGAGATGACGTCGGGCTCCAATTTCATATCCCACATCTCGCTCAGCAGCGCCAGCGCCCGCTGCCACTGCTCACCCTTCTCGCAGGCGCTGATCCCAGCACTGTAGCTGACTAGGGCTGACCCGTGGACTACGTCCACTTGCGGGGTAAAAGGGTGCTGCCGCAAGGCGAACAGGATGAATGGCGTCACGTTCGCCTGCCACACATCGCTGAGCGAGGAGACGGAGGAGCGTCTGGACGCCCCACCTGGGGCGCTCAAGTGCTCCCTTGGGATCGGATCGGGCTTTGTCTGTGCATTGGGTCCGACCTCTCGGGCGTTCTGGGGCCGTCTGGGGGCCCTCTGAGGGGCCCCAAGATCACCAACACGCCTCCAAGATATCCCTCCCCATAATGGCCGCCCGCCCAGAATCGGCGGGACCAATTCTTGGCCACCGCGCCGCCGACCCAGAATCCTGGCCGACGCGCCCTGGGCGGCCGCGCGCGCTTCCGGGGCCGGCCGAGGCGATTCTGGGCCACCAGAAGAGCGAAACACGGCATGGCCACAAGAGGCCACGGAGAGGGCTCCAGACCGACTAAAAGGGCGAGGAATTTTGGGGCCAAGTCCGGCAGGGAGCGCCAAACAAGCATGAGAGCCCCATGGTGCGCTTGGAGCTGTTTTGAGACCGTCTTCGGGCCTTCTTAGGCTGTCTTTGGCTGCTGTTGGGGCTGACTTCGGTGCATCTTGGGCCGTCATCTTGGGGCCTCTGGGGATCGTTTAGGAGCCTCTCAGCGCTTCTTTTCGGCCTCCTGGAAACCTCCTGGGGCCCTCTTGGGCTGTCTCGGGTGCCTCTTGGGCCGTGTTGAGGCCGTCCGGGGCCGACTGGGGGTTGTCTGGGGCCGTCTTGGGCGTCTCTGGAGCAGTCTGGGGACCGTCTGGGGGCCGTCTTGGGCCGTCCTGGGCCGCTCTTGAGGCTGTCTTGGGTTCCTCGTGGGCCGCCAGGGGCGCCTCAGGAGCCGTCCCAGGGCAATCTTGGGACCCTGCATGGCCGTCTTAGACGCTATGACGAGGGCAAGCCCGGGAACTACCAAAATGTACGTTTTCCCTCGAGAATGTGAATATTTTTCAATGTTCGGGCTCTCTTGGGGCTCTTCTTGGAGCCCACTTGGAGCGTTTTGGAGGCCTCTTGGGCCGTCTGGAGGCTGTCTGAGGCGTTGCCGAGCGCTCTGGGCGCGTCTCGGAGACCCTCTTGGACCGTCTTCGGCCGTCTTGCGGCCCTCTTGGGGGCCTCCTGGGGCGTCTCGGAACGCTCTTGGACCATCTTGGAAGCGCGCCGGGGCCTGCTGGGGCTCGCAGGGGCTGCCGGAGGGGGCCGGTCCGCTGCCACCGATGGGCCCCTCCGCGAGCGCTGGGCCAGCCATTGTAGGAGAGATCACGTCGGGATCCAACGTCGACGTCAACATGTCGCCGAGCAACGCCAAAGCCTGCTGCCATTGTTTGCTTCTTGCGCACGAGGTGATCCCAGCGCCACAGCTACTAACGGTGGCCTGTACCTTCGCTTCAGACATTTCCCGAAGAAGGCAAAGGGCCAGCTGCCACTGCCTGCCTTTCCCGAGCGCCGCAATTATCCTTACGACTCGTCCTGCCTGTTCCTCCTGTTGCACATAATCGAAATCGCGCAAAACGTGCAGCGCTGCAATCCATTGCGCTGCCTTCCCGTAAATCTTTGAAGCCTCATCCAGGGAAGACAAGCCTGGTCGAGATCCCCTCCAAACGTCTAACATCTAACATCATGAACGCAGTCGGACCGAAATTCACTGGACGACAAAAGAGCTGTCTGAGCCGGGACTACGAATGAGGCGGACGACGGTAAGGGGAAAACGCAGGAACGGAGTGATGGAAGGAAGGATGGAGTAGCCTGTCAGCTTTAGATCTGGCCTAGTGGGTTTCTGTACTTGTTGCATGGACTTGTTCAATTTCAGATGCGGGCCAGCATCGGCAGCGGCATCCTAGTAGCAATGATCCCGTTGCCTCCTGCTTGGCAAAAACCAGATTGCTGACTTTGCTCGGTTATCGACATCGCCGTCGGTGGCGGATTCTGTCGTGAAGATTGCGTCGCACCCGTGCATGAACTTCACAGTTCGTCGTGGCCTCATCTGTTACGCTGCAAGAAGCCAGACAATGCGTGATGGAAACAGCTTATCGCACGACGCGGCTGGCTGCCAGCGGATAGCCCAAGAAAGCTCGAATGACCAGCGTTATAAAGTCATGTTGGAGCCCCTTGCTGGTCAATGCCACTGACTACTTGAAGTGTGCCCATTGGGAACTGGAACTCTGAACAGTACGTGGTCGTATCGGCAAGTTGTTTACCAATCAGCGCTTGCACTGTTCAAGGTTCTAGCAGATATCGTGCAAATTTAGTTGAAATTGCCAGCCGCTTTCGGTAGAAGGCCGTGTTCCCCAACTCTCAATCTCCAGGCTCCCAACTCTGAGCTCTCAGGCCAGTTGTGGCCTGGATCGCGTGGAACTAGCAGCCATGCTTACCGAGGGCCCCGTTCGGTGGTCTGCCGTTGTCTGCTGGTGACTCGCGCATCGATACGTGGGCGGGTGCATAGAGCCGGCGGTGCAGGGGAGCGCTGTCCTCCCATTGTTTGCCCAACGGGCAGGAGAGATAAGCCGTGGGATCGGAGGCAAGGTCAGCAAGCGTGGCGTATGTTAGACTGCCGCGCAGAGCCATACCCAACGTCAGCATGCTGCTGCCATGGTGTACAAGTGAGACGAATTGCTGCGCCGGGCCACTCATCCTCAATCGCACGGAAGGAGCCGATGCCAGCTCTGCAAGATCGCGATGCCTAGCTTCAAATTCGCGTTCCCCTCTCCTCCCTGCGCAGCGAGCGGGCATCCAGCCACCGCCCGCCCTGCTCTCACGAACCGGCACCCCCCCGCGACCCTCCCCTCGGAGCCCTCCCCGGACCCGCCGGCTCCAGGCACCCCCCCAGAAGAGAAGGAAGAGGACCGGAAGAATCGAGGAGGGGGGAGGCAACAGAGCCGCGAAGATCACCGCATCCAGAGCCCCCCCGATCGGCGGCACTGGCCGGAGGCCATTACAACATCCCCTCATCGCCCCTGGCCCAAAACTGCTAGCTACATATCCTCACCCCCTGGACTTGAAAACTGCCAGTGAAGTATCCTCAACACCCTGGCCTAAAACTGCCAGCGAAGTTTCCTCAACCCCCTGACGTGCGAAATATCATCGCACCCCTCCCTCAAAATTGACGACGAAATATCATCACCCCCTGGCCTAAAACTGCTAGCGACATATCCTCACCGCCCTGGCTTAACACTGCCAGCGAAATATCCTCACACCCCTCAGCGAAATATCCTCACCCCTGGCCTAAAACTGCAAGCGACATATCCTCACACCCCTCGCTTGAAACTGCCAGCAAAATATCCTCACACCCCTTGATTGAAATTGCCAGCGATATATCATCCACCCCCTGACTGAAAACTGCCAGCGAAATATTCTCAACCCCCTGACGTGCGAAGTATCACCACATTCCTCCCTTAAAACTGCTAGTGACATATTCTCACCCCCCTGGCCTAGAACTGCCAGCGAAATATCCTCACCGCCCTGTCTTGACACTGCCGGCGAAATGTCCTCACACCCCGCAGCGAAATACCCTCACCCCCTGGCACACACCCCGCTGGAGCATCTCGGCATTCTCCGTCTCCACACCCCCAACCTCCCCACTCGCGTCCCCACGTGTCAGGTCGATTTACTTTCCGCGCGAGTTCAGGCGAGGCGCACCTCCAACTGGCGCATATCTGCCTTATCCGTCTCCAGACCCGCAGCCCCCCCTCGCGCTCCCCTTATGTCAGGTCGACTTTACTTTTCGCGCGAGTTCAGACGAGGCGCACCTTCCGCTGGCGCATCTACAATGACGACGACGACGCTGACGACTGCGACGACGACGCCGATGATGACGACGACGATGACGATGACAGTGACGACAATGACGAGGAGGACGACGGCAACGACGATGACGGTGAAAATAGCAACGACGACGACAACAACGACGACCACGACGACGACGACGACGACGACGACGACGACGACGATGCAAAGTATGATGATGCATTGAGCGAAACGTTTACTTTTGAGCGAAATGATTGAACAAACAATTGTTTGTTTAAGGTGTTGCCTCTTGGGCCGTCTTGGGGGTCCTCCAAAGAATGCCTCCAACAGATGTCGCACGGCAGCTTATTGCACACCGCATTGATTGTTACCTAACAGCGAAGACTGTTAGGTTTCTAGTGGGGTCAAAAGAGAGCATCTTGACGCCCCAGGAGTCTGGGCGGGATCCGGACAGGGGATCCGGACAGATCCGGCAGCCCCAGGAGTCCTTAGGAATCCCCTAGGGATTCTGAGGAATCCTTAGGAATCCATTCCCAGAACACCATTGTCAGGCCACATTTTGCTCGGAACCAACTGTAGGCCACTTCGTGTTCTTCGTGTTCCCAGAACACCATGCCCAGGCCACATTTTGAATGCCCAGAGCCAACTGTAGGCCACTTCGTGTTCTTCGTCTCCCCAGAACACCGTTCCCAGGCCACATTTTGAATGCCCGGAGCCAGCTGAAGGCCACTTGGTGTTCTTCGTGTTCCCAGAACACCATTCCCAGGTCACATTTTGAATGCCCAGAGCCAACTGTAGGCCACTTGGTGTTCTTCGTGTTCCCAGAACACCACTCCTGTACCATATTTTGATTGCCCGGAGCCAACTGTGGGCCACTTCGTGATCTTCGTGTTCACTTCGTGTTCTTCGTGTTCCCAGAACACCATTCCTGAACCATATTTTGACTGCCCGGAGCCATCTGTGGGCTACTTCGTGATCTTCGTGTTCCCAGAACACCGGTCCTGTGCCATATCTTGAACGCCCGAGCTGAGGCAGGCTGAGGCCGAGGCAGGCTGAGGCCGAGGCAGGCTGAGGCCGAGGCAGGCTGAGACTGAGGCTGAGGCACCCCGAGGCTGAGGCTGAGGCTGAGGCACGCCGAGGCTGAGGCTGAGGCTGAGGCTGAGGCTGAGGCAGGCTGAGGCTGAGGCAGGCTGAGGCTGAGGCTGACGCAGTCTGAGGCCGAGGCAGGCTGAGGCTGAGGATGAGGCTGAGGCTGAGGCTAAGGCTGAGGCTGAGGCTGAGGCTGAGGCAGGCTGAGACTGAGGCTGAGGCAGGCTGAGGCTGAGGCTGAGGCTGATGCAGGCTGAGGCTGAGAGGCTGACTGAGGCTGGCTGAGGCTGAGGCTGAGGCTGAGGCAAGCTGCGGCTGAGGCAGGCTGAGGCTGAGGCTGATGCAGGCTGAGGCTGAGGCAGGCTGAGGCTGAGGCTGAGGCAGGCTGAGGCTGAGGCTGAGGCTGAGGATGAGGCTGAGGCAGGCTGAGGCTGAGGCTGGCTGAGGCTGAGGCTGAGGCAGGCTGAGGAGGCTGAGGCAGGCTGAGGCTGAGGCTGATGCAGGCTGAGGCTGAGAGGCTGACGCTGAGGCTGAGGCTGAGGCTGAGGCTGAGGCTGAGGCTGAGGCTGAGGCCGAGGCAGGCTGAGGCTGAGACTGAGGCAAGCCGAGGCAGGCTGAGGCTGAAAAGCTGAAGCTGAGGCAGGCTGAGGCTGAGACCTGCGGCTGTGGCTGAGGCTGAGGCAAGCTGCGGCTGAGGCAGGCTGAGGCTGAGGCTGATGCAGGCTGAGGCTGAGGCAGGCTGAGGCTGAGGCTGAGGCAGGCTGAGGCTGACAGATATGCTTATACACATCGCTGTTAGGTTGCTTTGCCGGGATACTTTGGAGGATGTCTCAGGCGGGAGCCTCATGTTTGAGAATGCGACAAATTCGCAAGCTCCCTGGACGTCTCCGTTGTTTGAGGATGTCTCGGGCGATAGCTACATAAATAACATGAGAGGTCGAATCGCCGCGCGTTCGACCTCTATTTTGTTTCGAGGGTGTCTCAGGCGAAACGCTCATTTTTGGAGACCGACGAATTTCGCTAAATTCAAAGATCTCCATGTTTCGGGGATGTTTGCAGCAAGAGCTTCATGTTTAACATAAAGCGCCCTAAAATAGATCCTCAGAGATCTCCATTTTGAGAGGATGTCTCAAGCGAGATGGCCATTATCAGGAACCTTTCTTGACATGAAGGGGAAGCGTGTGAAAGCGACGAGCTTTACAAGAACGTGCAACACTATCACGATACAATGCTATCGCATCTCGGCGTTATCCGTCTCCAAACCCCATCTCCCCACTCGGGTTCCCCATATGTCAAGTCGAATTTACTTTCCGCGCGACTTCACACCCCCGCTGGCGCATCTCGGCACTATCCGTGTCCAGACCCCCATCTCACCACTCGCGTTGCCCTATGTCAAGTCGAGTACACTTTCCGCGCGAATTCGGACGACGCGCACCCCCTGCTGGCACATCTCGGCATTATCCGTCTCCAGATCCCCTATCTCACCAATCGCGTTCTCCGCGTCGACTTTGTTTTCCGCACGACTTCAGACGAGGCGTACCCCCCGCTGTTGCATGTCGGCATGATGTGTGTCTAGGCCCCCAACCTCCCCACTCGCGTTCCCCATATGTCAGGTCGAGTTTACTTTCCGCGCGACTTCAGACGAAGCGCACCCCCCGCTGGCGCATCTCCGCATTATCTGTGTCCAGACCCCCAACCTCCCCACTCGCGCTCCCCCATGTCAGGTGGAATTAAATATCCGGGCGAGTTCAGAGGACGCGCGCCCCCCACGGGCGCATT